TTTTTTTTTTTTTTTTGGTTTTTCTCCGGTACCAGGAATCAAACTCATGACCTTGTGCTTGTGAGGCAGGCGCTTTTGCCACTGAGCTAAATCCCCAGCCCCTTGGGGGTCATTTTAAACTGGGAAGATAACCAGGTGTGGTGACTTATGTCTGTAATCCCAGCACTTTGGAGGCTGATGCAGGAGGATTGCTGTGAGTTCAAGGCCAGCCTGGGCTACAAAATGAGGTCAAGGCCAGCCTGAACTGCATAGTGAGACCCACTCTCAAAAACACAAGTAAATAAACAAACCAGGAAATCACAAAGAGTAAGCACCAAACTGTGAAAAAAGTAAAACACTACACACATTAGAAGGGACATTTGTTTACAGTTTGAGAGCTGCAGTGAGAGGGCTGAGTATGCCTTTGTTTGATTTTAGTTGGAAACGTGCCTGAAGCAGTTTTAAGCTTCTCAATACACATGTGAATTGCAGTGAAAGAAACTCATTTGGAGATTACAAATACATTTTAGTGGGTAATCAAATCTGCAAATATAGAGTCTGAATAATCAGGATTGACTATAATAAAAAAGTTAATGACATACACAATACAGTGGAAAGGGTGAAACATTAAAAGTTGGTTCTTTGAAAGAGCTAATAAACTTTTCTGCAGGATTGGTAAAGAAAATGATAAAACGTAACTTTCTTAAGTGTATGCAGTGAACACGGGGTCATAACTAAGGATGCAGCCAAAGCCTGGCTACACAGTGAGTTCAAGGCCAGCTTGAACTACAAATTTTTGAGACCCTGTCTCAAAAATAATATGTATTTGCTCGTGAAATAGCAGACCAAAACAAACTGAGGCCATTATATATCTATTTAAATGGCCAAAAGAAACTGTAACGCCACCAAGTGCTGGGAGAGAGAGCTAGAAACTGCATCTTGCATACACTGCTGGAAGGAATGGAGAGTAGAGGAGCCACTGCACGCTCCCCTGGTGGTTTCTTCCGAAGCTGAACATTCCTGTACCATAGAACCAGCACTCACCCTCAGAGAAATTTAATCATAAAGAATTGAGTGTTCGTAGCTGTTTTATTTGTGATAGCCCCAAACTGGAAACCATACAAATGGCGCACAGCCGGTGAATGGATGGCCAAAGTTTGGTACAGCCATACGATGGAACACTACTCAGCACTTTACAGAGAGCAAGCTCTTGATACCCTCAGGCTATTTTGTTATATAACACTCTTTGGTGACAGAATTACCCTGATAGATAACAAATCAGTGTTGTCGGGCTTGAGAGTAGGGAGAGGGTGTGACTACAAGTAGACTTTTTTTTGGTACCAGGAATCAAACTTAGGGCCTCGTGCTTGCCAGGCAGGCAGGCGCTGTGCTGCTGAGCTATGTCCCTGGCCCATGGACTCATTGATAAAATAGTTCTGTGCCCTGAGTGTGGTACTATACATGAATGTGTACGAATGATAAAATTTCATAATACCGTATACCAAGAAAAGAATATGTAAAAACTAAAGAAATTTGAGTAAGCTCTGTAGTTTACATAGTATTGTGGCAGTGTCAGTTTCCTGGTTTTGGTACATGTTATGATCGCATAAGGTGTTATCATTGGGGAAAACTGGCTGACAGGTGCATGGGAACCTTGGCTAAATTAGTTGACAAAGTTTTTTTTCTTCCATTGAAGTACATAAAACAAGATAACTAACTTATACTCCTCAAAAGATCCAGGATTACAGTGACAAAGACTCATCAATATCACTGCTTTTTATAAGCGCATTTGGCAAAACTTGCATAGGCTGTGTTTATTAGAGAATATTATTGTAGTAATGGTAATTTTTTATTTATCGTACTGTGGTTGTATAAGAATGTTTTCAGGAAGTAGTATACACTGCAGTATTTAGAGGTAAAGGGGCATCTTCATAACATCATCATAATTTGGATAAGAAAAGTAATGGAATTTTTAAAATAAAAAATACTTAGAATATGTGTTCCATGCATTCTTCTTCAGTCTTCTTCCTTTTTTTTTTTTTTTTTTTTTTTGTATTGGGCATCGCACGCAGGACCTTGCGCTTGCCAGGCAGGCGCTGTGCAACCGAGCTATAGCCCTGGCCCTCGACTTCTTGATTATTAATTTCTTTATCTTTATGACTCTTTTCATTTGATTTTTTTCACTTTCCTTTGTTACAGGCTGTTCAGTATCAAGCAGCTATGGAATATGTCCAAAAAGCAGACCGAAGGAGTTTGTTGTCTGAAATTCAAGCACTGCGTGCTCAAATGAATGGTAGGAAAATGACCCTGAAAAGAGAGCAGGAGAGTGATAACCCTGGCCAAGGTAGGCTGTGTGACAGGCTCCTGTGGTTACACAGTAGCTGAAAATATTTCCTTTGTTTCCCTTATTATTATTACTCAGCGAAAACATTTCTTCTTGGTCACATTTGTAATTTCATAACACTAAAGAAATAATCTATCTTAATTTCTGTAGGGGTTAGAAAATTGCCAAATTGATCAGCAATGTCTAATTAAAAATAAACCTTACATTACAGCCCTTAAGTTCATTGTCTTTGTTTCAAGCTATATGTAAGTCTTTCCTACACCTAAAGGTACCTACCTTAAGTAAAAGAAGTTGCAATGAAAATAGTTGTTTTTACTTTTAGCCCTTTAAGAATTTACGAACATAAAGTGAAGAATTCAAATACACAATATGACAGATTATTGCAGGAGTATCTGTGAGCAGCACACATGTCAAGAAGTAGAACATTACCCAAAAGCCCCTTCGCATACTCCATAGTGTGTACCTAGCGGTTATTGTCCTGATTTTTCTTTAGTTTTACTACCAATGTACATATTCCCTGTACTCGTGTGCTTATTATTAAAGTTGCCCTGTTTTGAACTTTTATCAGTCTGTACATATTTTGTGTCTTGCTTCCTTTCTCTTTCTATAACATTCATTCAGGTTACTGAATTTATCTCTAGTTTGGATTTGTTGCTGTGTAGAATTCCCATGCATGGATATTATACATTATGTTCCCCATCTTATTCTACTGTGTGCTTGATGTACCTATACATAGTCTACCTAGGAGTGGACTTGCTGTGTCACAGGATATGTATATGCAGATTTGCTAGGTAATGCCTAGCTATGTCAAAGAGTGGCAGTGTCAGTTTGCACACTCACTAGCCCTGTAGGAGGGTTTTATTATTGCTTCACATATTTGCAAACAGCTGGCTCTGTGACAGTCTCTTCCGTGCACAGTGGATACTTTGTTGCCATCTCTTAGGTGCGTAGCAGACATGTATTGTGACTTTAGTTGACTTTACTAACATGGTTTAGGTCCCTTTTCATATGCTTAGTGACTTACTTGCTTGAGTCATTTGCAGTTTGCGATAGAGATATCTGTTTAAACTGAACTGCAGATAGAAGTCATTAGAGTAAATTTTCATCTTCCCTCCGAAGACAGGTTGCTGCATGTTTAGTGATACTCTTTCGTGTAAGGCAGAAGCATCTGCTTTTGAGACTGTTACAGCAGTTTCACATTTTATCATTGAAAACCCAAATTAGGTTAAAAGTGCTGCAGAAGGAACAGTTACTGTGAGATATATTACACATAACCCTTTAAACAGAATCCTAACTAAAATTGTACAAGATAATACTGTTTTATTTAACTTAAATAGGAAGCCACTGGAAGCTTAATATCACATGGATTCATATTTGCATATGCTATTCACTGAGAAATTGTTTTAAAAGCCTAAATTAACATGATTGATTATGATCTAAAGCCAATACTATTCCTCTCTCCTAAAATCATTAATATGGCTTGATAAACCTTAAAAGAATTTTAAATTTAAAAAATGTTTTAATGGAGTATTGTTACATATTTATGGCACAACAGAAAAAACAAGAGTAAAAGTGACCCCTAGAATCATATAAAGCCTAAAATAGTGGCTGTTTAACACTTAGGTAAATATGTCCGCAGACCTTTTCAACATGCATGCACACATAAATACATAACTTTTGTTCAGGTGGGAGCCTGATGCATATTTTGTAACATAACGCAACACTTTTTTCACTTAACGCACTTGAAGATTTAAATCCCCAAGTTTGTTTTCATTATAACAAATGTGCATCATCTGCTGGATGTCTAATGAGAGGGCAGGGAAAAGGATCCCAGCCAGGGTTTGTGCTTCCCACTGCTGGGGACAGAGTTACAAAGTTCCTAGGGGCCATCTGCAAAGAAGGGCTGAGCATAAGAAGCAAGCAGTGTTGACCATTGTAGTCATGATTACATGGGTAACTACTACAAATACTATACATGGTTATCAAAAATTATTAGAAAATTTAAGTGTGAGTGGTTCACATTCTTAATGAATAAACACAGAAGTCCCTTGGCCAGTCACGGTGATGCACGCCTGTAATCCCAGCACTCAAGAGGCTGAGGCAGGAGGGTGGCTGTGAGTTCAAGGCCAGCCAGAAGTGCATAATGAAACCCTGTCTCAAAAAGACCCAAAGAAAAAGACAGAAGTCCCTGTTTATAATTTTGTGTGAACATTGAAAGTTTTTTTTAAACTTTATTAATACATGTGTGGAGCTGGGGATATAGCGCAGTGGCACAGTGCCTGCTTGGCAAGCGCAAGGTCCTGAGTTCAATTCCCAGTACCAAAAAATAAATAAAATAAAAATTTTTTCTTAAAAAATACATGTGTGTAGTACATAATGTTTACATTCCTTGTGTGCAGTTGGTACATGTACATGACACATCCTGATTCATCCCATTTGTCTTCCCTCTCCTTGGAGTTTCTGGGGGAGGTTTTATTTTTGTTTTTGTTGGGTTGTGTTTGTTTGTTTTGGTACGTGTTTGTAGTACATAATGCTTACATCCCTTGTGTGGAATTGGTACGTGTACATGATACATCCCAATCCCTTTTTGTCCCTTATCCCTTTCCTCCCTCCATCCTTCCTGATCCCCTCCCCCTTTGAGGATGATGTATCTCCCTACTTGCAATTTCTACCTTTGAATTTGCTCTTTTTACTGTGGGTTTCTAATATAGGAGAAATCATGTGATATGCAAGTGTGTGTATCTGATTTATTTCACTTATTATTATGGTCTTAAGGCACGTCCATTTTCCTACAAATGACTTGTTTATTTTTCTTCGTGGCAGAGTAGTACCCAATTGTGTGTAAATGCATTTTCCTTATCCATTTGTCTGTTGATGGATATATGGTCCATTTTCAAGCATTAGCTAATACGAGTTACGCTGCCATAAACGTGGGTGTGACTATTACCACTGTAGTATGATGACTTTAATTCTTTCGGGTAGATGACCTAGAAGGTGAATAGCTACATCAAACAGAATTTCTAGTTTTAGTTTTTTGAGTAATCTCCTTACTGGAGATCATACTAGTTTACATAGTGTTTTTACTACTTTACTTTCCCACAGACAGTGTAGGAGGGTTCTTTTTTCTCCTGCAGCATTTCCAGCATTTGTTCTTATTTGATTTCTTGATGATGCCATTCTTTCTGGGGTAAGATGGCACCTCAGTGTTGTTTTAATTTGCATTTCTCCACAGACCAGTGGTGTTGAGCATTTCTTCATGTATTTATTGGCCGTTGGTATTTCTTCCGTGATGTGTCTATTCATTTCACTTGCCCAGTTTTTGATTGGGTGTTTTATTGTGGAAGTCTAATTTTTTTTAGTTCTTTATATATTCTGGATATCAGTCCTCTGAGAAATTGTTGGCAAAATTTTTTTTCCTATTCTGTAGGTTGTCTTCTCACTGTTGGTTGTTTCTTGTGCTGTGCAGAAGCTTTTATGATCCTATCTGTTGGTTCTTGGAACTATTTCCTGTGCCACTGGGGTTCTGTTCAGAAAGTCTTTGCCTATACCTGTGTGTTCAAGAGTTTTGCCTATCTTCTAGCATTTTGCTTCTGGTTTAACATTTAGTTCTTTAGTCCATTTTGATTTTACTTTAGTATATGGTGAGAGATATGGGTCTAGATTCAATTAATTTTAAATCCTGCATTCATGAATATAGTCAACTTTTATTATTTTTTAGTATACTTACAGTTCTGGAATTTTTCTTAACAGAGAAAAAATTTCTTTATAAAAATAGATCATAGTGACAATGAAATCCATCAGTCTGGACTGAGTGCCATAATCCCTGGTTTAATAAACAAAGCAGTAATCTGTAATTCTGACAATGCAGAGTTGTAAATATTATTTTGGAAATCATGTACAGAACTGTCTTTTTAAAAATATTTTTACATTTCTAGAAATTGAAAGCAGCTCTACATTTCTTTAAAAATATTCACTAAATATAAAATTAAAATTAACAAGTGAACAGGAAATAATAGCAATTTTCAATGGTGACAAATATTCTTACAGTAACAAATAATCTGACCTAGTTTTTCCTATACCAGTCTTACAACTCAGTCCTTAAGACATCACTTTCAACATAGCAATTTTGCCTAAATTATATGAAGAAAGAAAATTGCATCAGCTAACATTGAAATCTTAAAAGAAGTTACTGATAAAAACACCTGCTTTCTAATGCTTCAGTGGGTCTCTTATAGGACAGAACACAACGGCAGTTGGAGGTTTTATTTGAAGATTTTGTTTTCTGTGTGTCTCCTGTTTCTAGACCAACTACCGTACTTTAAAATATAAAATCTTGAAGCTTTCTTAAACTATGCTTCAGACCTGGTTTATGCAATTCTATAATTTCTGCTTGCGGAATTAGTAATTAGGGATATAGTCAGCTCTTAAAAACACTGTTCTTCATGTGCAACAGACGGTCAGAATCCCGAGTGCTGTGACAGGCTCCTTCGGTAGACGCCCAGATGGCATTGCGCCATTCAGGGATGATGCCTTTCAGGTACTGGTCCTGGGTGACCAGTACCACAAAAACGTGACCTAGGACTTGTCTTACTGTATATTTGCTAAAAACAAATCTAATCATTGTATAAATTTTCTACAAGCTCCAAGTATTCATTTAAATGTTTAAGACTTTTTTAAGTTTAGTAACAAATCTTCACATATATATGTAATGCTTTATACATTATACACCTGGCTTGTTTCTACTACCTTTAAGGAAAGAATATTGCTTTAAACTAATAACCTTAAATTAACTGGTAGAACTGCATCGATCTTCCTTTCATCTTTCCTTGGTTCCTGGATTTCCTTAAATGATGGCATCCTGTTTATCAATGATTCTGTACTAAATGCCTCTTCTCAAGTAACATATTTTGCATGCAATGTAAAGAATAGATAAAACTCCCTTGTCAATACAGTACTACCAGCAAAGCTGACATTGTCAAATTTTGATCCTTTGTTTTCTCTAGAATGAGAATTACTGTGATTGTTTGTTAGCTGTGTCTCCAAACTATTGTGGCTGTGGTCGTGGAGGATGTTGACATGGGGGATTGTTCTGTGAAACACTTGTTGCTTTAGGAGTAAACTCTGAGGTAGTGGAAGTCGTGTTTGTTGAGATTCCTGGTGCTGTCATTTTAGAAGTGTGTGGATTTTGTGGTGACAGCTGTCCCATGATTGAGTCCAGGTAAACTGTAGTTGATTTTTTCACATTGCTGCTGCTGTTAGATTTGCTTGTATCCTTGGAGAACACATTCTCTGTTAAGTTAGCACTGGAGTTGTGCAGAGGCACCACACATGCCACACTGGGAGATCCCTGCGTTTCAGGGGACCCCGAAGCACCAGCACCTGTAGCTGTCCCGGGAGTAGCGCTGCTGAGCGCTCTGCACAGCGAGCACTGTTGTTCCTGGGACAGGCACTGCAGCCGCCCAAGTCCCCAGTCTCAGTGAGGGCCATGGTGTGATGCGCACCACTTGGCCTGCATCACCCCCTACAGCCCACAGCTCCCAGGCCTCCTCTTCTGCCGCTAGCACTACTGAGGAAAATATGCGTAAAGTTTCTGTAAAGTACCAACTGTGGAGGCTGTAATCTTTTACAGTTGTTTTGCAGTAACCTCCTAAACAACAAATTATTTCTTAGCAGTGAAATATTTATAGACCAAATGAGTTACTAGATCACATTTTAAATGTCAATCGTGTTCCCTTTAGAACTCTTGGAATATAACGTGCAACAGAAGCAGTCTCAGATCCTGGAGATGCAAGTGGAGCTCAGCAGTGTGAAAGACAAAGCAACCGAACTTCAGGAACAGCTGAGCTCGGAAAAAATGGTGGTTGCTGAGCTAAAAAGTGAACTTGCACAAACGAAATTGGAACTAGAAACAACACTCAAGGCACAGCATAAGCACCTGAAAGAATTAGAAGCATTCAGGTGTGCCAGCCTTCTTTACTGTAAATGTGTATTAGGGCAGGAATGGAGTAATTCTGTTGTAAACATTGTGCAAACAAAAATAAAACACTACTTGTGATGTTTAAATAGCATGAAAACTTTGTTAATTATAGCACAAACAACAGTAGAGAGAGGAAATTCCAATTTTTTTTCCAGTTGTAAACTCCTGATTATTTTGGCATATTCTCTACTTAGTTCTTAGTTCTTGTCTTAGTTCTGTATGAGATACAATTTTGATGCTTATTTTACCGTAAGCTAAGTAGAAACGATGTTTAATGTGATGAATGGTTTAGTTAGCCAAAATATGCAAAGTGTTTCAAGAGATAATGCTTGTAAAAAAGGATACATTTGTTTATATAAATACTGAGATATTCTGTTTGCCAAAACACATTGCAAATACAGTCGTTCTTATTTTGAACACTGATTTCACACACAAATTCATGTAATGATTCCTGTGGTTAGTAAAGCACAAGGAAAAATGCTATTGATTTTATTTTGTAAGCCTAGCTACTCAGGAGGCTTAGGCAGGAGGATTCTAAGTTGAAGTCCAGCCTGTACAATTTAGTGAGCCTCTTGTCTCATAATATGAAAAGAGCTGGGAATGTAGCTCAGTATATTCCCTGGTGTCAGTCTCCATACCCCCCAAAAATTATTCTGTAGCAATAAACTGTATAATAGTTCACAGTGGTAAATAATCGTAATTGTACTGCCAATATTGGCAACAGAGAATTTGAGATGACCACATTCAAGAATCCTTAAACTTCATATTTTCATGTTAGCTAGTTTATAATATACAGTATATGCCTCAACTTTTCAGTGTAAACTGCTTTTTCTTGCTCAAGATGTACTTGATGACAGTTCATTTGTCTCTTTTGATTTAGATTGGAAGTTAAAGATAAGACAGACGAAGTACATATGCTTAATGATACATTAGCAAGTGAACAGAAAAAATCAAGAGAGCTCCAATGGGCTTTGGAGAAAGAGAAAGCCAGGCTGGGACACAGTGAAGAGAGGGAGAAAGACGAACTCGAGGTATTGTCATTGTTATCTTTATGTCTCGGGAGAATCTAGTCTTGAGACTGGTCTTTTCTAAAATGTCAACGTTAGACACCCTTAAAAGCTGTGTTTTTCATTCTGCGTTAATTACTGCTATAATGTTATCTAAACTGCATTATGAGGAAGTGATGATGGTTTGCTTTTTATTTTGCTGCATCCAAGGGTACGTACCGATTGCTCTGTAGCACCATACTTGGGGAATGTGAATTGGTGCACACCAGTTTGATAAACAGGGCATTCGTATTACTTTAATGCAGAAGTAGTTTTGGTTCCTGTTTTCTCCTAAAGCAGTGACGGCAAACCTCTTAGAAACAGTGCCCGCACTGCAACCCAAAACCCATGTATTTATCGCAAAGTGCCAATGCTACAATTAAACCTGAATACTGAGGTTTTAGTTTAGAAAAAAAACTGTTATCTGCTGCTCAGCTGCATGCCCACCGTGGCAGGAGTGTCACGGGTTTGCCACGGCCATCCTACAGAATGGGGTCCGGACTGCTTTCATGGTACACAGGAGCCCTTGCTGCTATACTTTCAAAAAATTTCGGATAAGCACTGGGCTCTCAGGCAGATGCCCCTAGGCTCGCATGGCTCTCAGCTCAAGACAGGCTGGGCCTCGCAGAAGGCCCGGGGCAGCGGCGGCCTCCCTGGCCCAGAACACTCCTCCTGTCACCTAATGCAGCGTGCGCCAGCTCAGGGGCCAAAACATGTCGCCAGCCCTTTTGCCCTGTTTTCTTGCTTGCTCACTTTTTAATTTCTGCTGTTGTAACCTCCACACAGGGATATGTAACTTCCCCAAATACTAATCTATTTTTTATTAAAAATTTGCATTGATTTTGAGTAGTTTGTCGCAGATCCCACTTTCTATGTAAGCTTTATTTTTAGCCTCTGAAATTGAAAAACATAAGATTTTTCAGGAATTTCTTATCAGTGTCTACCAGAAACATGTATTTTTGAAATTTCACACAGTATCTTAATAATTTAGTGTATGAAAGCACAGCAGTCACTACCTTAGCCACCCCTGTGGGTGTCTCGCTGTTTGGAATCACCATGTTCTTGACATGAATATGCGCTTGTTAAGCAATTATTTTCTTACGCTTATTCACACAGAAGTACGTAACAGTTTAAAAAGAAGACACACCATTAATATGGCTAACAAGTATCACAAGAATGCTTATAATTTTTAATGATCTTTGTTAGAATGTATCCTGGAGGCTGGGTGTAGTGACACACACTTGTAGTCCCAGCACTTGGGAGGCTGAGGCAGGAGTTTTGCTTAGTTCAAGGCCAGCCTGGGCTACATAGTGACTTCAAGGCCACTCTGAAATACATAGTGAGACCCTGTCTCGAAAAACAAAAAAGAAATATTTAGCCAGATTAGCTTAATGTTTTATTTTTTTTGGTTGTTTTTTTTTTTTTTTTTTTTTTTTTTCCTCCGGTACCGGGAACCGAACTCACGACCTTGCGCTTGCCAGGCAGGCGCTTTTGCCACTGAGCTAAATCCCCAGCCCCTAGCTTAATGTTTTAAGAGAAATGTGTTGTTATCCTGTCTCTCATTTATATTCCTTGATGAAAATCAGTTGGCTGTCTAAATAATTATGTTCTAACCACTGAAAATGTAATTAATAAACTGGGTAAGCATATTATCCTCTAAGTATTACCAGTTTAGTATTAATAAAAGCATGGTTTTATACTTACAAAGTACATGAGTAATACTAAGAAGTGCTTAAATTTGATGTTTTCTTACAAGGATCTGAAGTTTTCGCTTGAGGATCAGAAACAGAGGAATACTCAGCTAACTCTGCTTTTGGAACAACAGAAACAGCTGCTAACAGAATCACAGCAGAAAGTGGAATCACAAAGAATGCTCCATGATGCCAGGTTATCAGAAGAACAAGGCCGAAACTTGGAGCTGCAAGTCCTCCTCGATTCCGAGAAAGTCCGGATTCAGGAGCTGAGTGGTGCCCTAGCGAGGGAGCGGGAGCTGCGGGCCCAGCTGCAGAGCAGTGACCAGGCTGGCCAGCCGCGTCCGCCCCTGCCCTCCGAGGACCTCCTGAAGGAACTGCAGAGGCAGCTGGAGGAGAAACACAGCCGTATAGTAGAACTGTTAAATGAGACTGAAAAATACAAGCTGGACTCGTTGCAAACAAGACAGCAGATGGAAAAGGACAGACAGGTTCATAAGAAGACACTGCAGACGGAACAGGAGGCCAACACTGAGGGCCAGAAAAAGATGCGTGAACTCCAGTCTAAAGTGGAAGATCTTCAGCGCCAGCTAGAAGAGAAAAGGCAGCAAGTCTATAAGTTAGATCTTGAAGGAAAGCGACTACAAGGAATTATGCAGGAATTCCAAAAGCAGGAACTGGAACGGGAAGAAAAAAGAGAAAGTAGACGAATTCTGTATCAGAATCTTAATGAGGTAAACTGAGACTTTAAGTACTTCTAAGGAGTTCCATAGCCCTTTGATTATGAAATTTTGATACTAGGTTGAATTATTTAAATAGTTTATGTGCAAATCATTTAAAAATAAATTCTATAGAACCTTATTTGGAGTATAAACAATAATTCTGCTCCCTTAAGAAAGCATATTTAATGCTGTTCATTTATAATTATTATTTCTTCTTTTTTCCAAAATTGCCAGCCAACCAGTTGGAGCTTGACTAATGATCGGACTCGAAATTGGGTTCTTCAGCAGAAAATAGAAGGAGATACAAAAGACTCAAACTATCCTAAACTGACGGTCATGAATGGAGGAGAAACGAACTACAATCACGAATTAGAAGTGGTCAGACAGAAGCTCGAGCGTGCGGCTTCGAGCCTGCACCATCTGTCCCAGAAAGCCTCTGACAGGTTAGGCTGGCCCGCCTGGTCTTGGGAGCAGCATCCTTAGGCTGGACAGTCGCCACCCTGCAGGCGTAGCTGGCCAGGGCGGGAAGTGGAGATGTACAGATACTGCTCCTTCCACGGAAGATCTGAGAGTAACCCCCGCGCTTAGGGAAGGAGAGCTCTTCACATAAGGGGTCGTGACAAGTGAAGCAGTCTCCCCAGTCTATAATGTTTGTGTTAGGAAACCCTCCTGAGAAAGTCTTTTCTAATTTTTTGTCTTTTTGTTGAAGGCTACAATTTGAAACAGCAGATGATGAAACTTTCATTTGGATTCAGGAAAATATTGATGGAATTATTTTACAACTACAGAAATTCATTGGCCAGCCAGGTGAAGAGGTAAGACCTTTTGAAAAGTTCTTTGTAAAACAGCAGCGATTCAATAGGAAATATGAACTGTTTGAAACTGCCAACATATTCTATAAAACTTTGATTTTTTTAATGGTAAATACAATGTTTGCCCTCCCAAGTGCTGGGATTATGGGTGTGCGCCACCACGCCTGGCTACAGTGCCCTTTTATTAATATACTAAGCTTCCTAAAAGAGCAGTCTGGTTTCTGCCCTCCCCGCTGCAGGAGACCCCCCTCAGAATCATCCCAGTGTCTCCACGGCTCACTCACCTGCTGAATCCTTTTGCTCCTGCCTCACGTAGTTAGGCTGAACACTCCGGGCTCTCCATCTCCTTAAAGCCCTCTTTCCTGGTCTTTGTCAGTGTTCTCTCATTGCGTCTGCGTCTTCCATCACTTACCTCCTGGTTTCTCCTCCCCGGTCATCTTCCGTGCTTTTCTCTAATGTGCTCTAAAGCGCCTCCATCCCACAGCCTTCGCTGGACTGATTTATTGAACAAATACTTATGTGGTACACATCCTGCCTCCTGAGTCCTATACGGGGTTCTGGAGATAAAATGAATAAACTGGATGAATCTCACTGATATCGTGGAGATTACTGTCCAGTTCTAGTGCAGACCTTTGACCTGTGCTCCAGGCTTATTTTCAGTTAGTTCCGAGGTACCTTGCTTGTCCCTGTACCCAAGAGTGACCCTTAGGGATCCAGAGGCATGCTCCAAACCGAACACTACCTTCCCCTGTCCTTCCTGCCCTGCTGATAGTGCTGTCGTCCAGGTTAGAAGCTGGGAGTCACTGTAGCCTGCCTGCCTTCACGCTGACTTGCACAGCGAAGCAGCCCTTAAGTCATGCGCCTTCACCTCCCACACGTCTGTCCCTGTGCCCGTTATGCCTCCGCTTTGCAGGCTTTCCTACCAGGACTGTTGTGACAACATCCTCGTGGGCGTGCTTGACACCAGAAGATTCTATCTTCCCTAACGTACTCTGTTTTGCATACTGCTGCCAAGGGAATGTCTCTAGAACTTTGTGGCATGTTCCTGCCTAAAGCCCTCTGGACTGCCTTCATTGAAGTCTATTATCCACAAAGTGAAGCAATGCTTATTCTAGTTTTACCAAGCAACTTGTAGCTCCCTTAAAAGCAACACCGTTGCATAAGCCTTTGTGTCTTTAATCTGCTCTTCAGCCCCGTGCCCTGCCTAGCTTCTCTGCTGCCTGGTACAGTTCTCCCTGTTACTGCCCAAGACCGTTTCAAGAAGTGGGCTGCTCTGTTCGCCTCTGCACACTTCCACACGCAGCGTTGCGGGAATCTGTACTTACGTGACCTGGTGCCGTGTTATTCCCCAGCCCAGCTCGGTGTCCCCAAGTGCTTCCTGTGGCTCATTGACTGAGCGGCTGCTGAGACAGAATGCTGAGCTGACGGGACATATCAGCCAGCTGACGGAAGAGAAGAATGGTTTGAGGAACACGGTAATGAAGCTAGAAGATCGGATAAGGTGCTACCGACAGGCTGGAGCTGCCGGAGACTGCGTACGTGACTTTTAAAAGGAGTGCCAAGTTACAGTTCTTTTGTCTGCTTTCAGTTCCTGGCTCTGAGATGTGAAAGTATCCAGTACCTGATGCTTAGTAAGATCTGTGGAAGATTTTATAGGGGTGACAGTAATAATCATAGCTATTATTTTGGAGAGAGCCTTCTCTGTACTAGACACAGGGTTATATACTTGCAGAATTTAATCCACATCCACCCTTATTCATGAGAAAGCTGAACTAAAGTTGTAATCAAACTAAAATCTGTTTATCTCCAAATCCAGGTACTTGGCTACCTAGGTTCCTGACTGTGCTTTTTGGTTACAATTATCAGTTACTGTGTTTAAGACTCAGGTGATGAAAGATGCTGTTTGACTGTATATTTCAGGCTAATAAAATACTCTAGGCAGGGGCTGGGGATTTAGCTCAGCAGCACAGCGCCGGCCTGGCAAGCGCAAGGTTGTGAGTTTGATTCCCGGTACTGGGGAAAAAAAAAAAAAAAGAAAAGAAATAGTCTAGGCATTTAAATTTTTTCCAGTTTAAAAGCTGCAAAATAATGGTTTGTATAATTAGCTGATAGACAGGTAAGGCCATTAGAAAATTGTACAAATAAATGGAAACCTAGCTGTGCAGTTTCCATAGCAATGCACTTAGCTGTGTACATGCAGGGTTACTTTCTGTCCCCTTCTGAAGTATAGGCTCAGCACTTGGACCCAGATGACCCAGCTGTTCAGTTTCTTGACTTTTTCAGTTCAAAGCTCTGCAAAACCTAACCTTTCTCTGGCTAGGCTTTTGCCAAGGACTTTCTGCTTAGCAAAGGAGCATGTACTCAGACTTCGGGAATACTCTTTAATGTCAGTTTAGGTTAGCTTTGAGCTTTCCTGAGATCAAAAAGCTGATACTAGGTATCCATCATGGGATACCTTTGATAGGATTAATTCTATTTTTCGTCATGAGACTCGTTCTTAAAAATCACGGTAAGTAGGGTGTGGTCTCTGTAGTCTTCCAGGTTTTCATTTGGTGCTGGTGCCAACATTGACGCCATCATTGCTTCCGAAAAAGAAGTGTGGAGCAGAGAGAAAGCGACTCTCCAGAAATCCTTGAAAAGGGCGGAGGCAGAAGTGTATAAACTGAGAGCTGAACTGAGAAATGATGCTCTGCTCCAGAACCTGAGCCCTGACTCTGATCATGTCACCTTAAAGGTAGGCGGCCTCTTCAGTCTACAGATGGTCCTGTCTCGCCTTGTTTCACCTCCGCTGACCGCAGCTGAACACACTGAAGAAGTGCGGGGGGCGCTCGGGCTGCCTCTAGGTCTGTCCATTCCGTCTGTGTCGTGATTGCCAGGTGTCTGACTGGTCACGGAAGGTCTGTAGAGGCCAGCCAAGAACTGGGCCCAGGTCAAGCTCTGTTCCTTGTCACAGCGTTAGCACAAGCGCTCGTGGTCCTGCTTCCCAGTTTCTTCCCATAATAGAGAGACAAAAATGTTCTCTTTTTAGCTAACCAAAGCAGTACTTACCAGCGTAAGAACATCATGCCCTGTGGAACAAGAAGCCTTCCAAGGAGCCCCCCTGGTGTCTAAGAATAGACATTGAGGTAAAACTACCTTAAGCAGTAAGTTAAAGTCCAGGGCAACAATATTTGGAATGTGTGTTCCAGTGACGGAATGAACATAAATGTGTGACTCTCAAAGGGACAGGAAACATTATTAAAGGACCTAAGTAGATGAATGACCATAATAATTAGAACAGTTCCATGCAGTTTTTCAACTCTTGTACCCAGTAGATGTGATGAGCCCAAAATAAAAAGCGTAACTGTGGTTAGTACTCTGACTCCATTACTAAAAAGAGACGAGGTGCAGAGGTTAGGTTAATTACACTCACTTTCAACTTCGCTGTTACAGTAGGAAAGGGAGAGGACACCGCCGATCTGGGTCCTTGACATGGCTCGCCTTGCCCTAGAGAAGGGTTGAATGACAGTGAGGCCTCTTTGTTCTTCCCTTTTTTAAATACAGAGGATTTATGGTAAATACTTGAGGGCAGAAAGCTTTCGCAAAGCTCTTATTTATCAGAAGAAATACCTGCTGCTGCTACTGGGCGGGTTCCAAGAGTGCGAAGACGCCACCCTGGCACTGCTTGCCCGCATGGGGGGCCAGCCGGCCTTCACCGACCTCGAGGTGATCACCAACCGCCCCCGGGGCTTCACCAGGTTCCGTTCCGCTGTCAGAGTGTGCATCGCCGTCTCCAGGTAAAGTCGCTTCCCGGGGAGGCTCCCCCAGAGGCTGCTTGTGCAGTCCGAGTAGGTCGCATTTGGTGCTTCTACAGGGATTTCTTAGCCGCACTGGGTCAGTCCGAATTGTTTTCTTAAAACAGATTTGAATCAGACCATGAACTAGTTCAGATATACACCCAAGATCACAGAAGACACGATGTGTTTGAAGGCCTACCCCGAGGACAGCATACATTTCTTCTCTCACTGCTTGTGTAACTCAGCGGTGGTGCCCAGCCAGGGAACACGCTCGTGGCCTTCAGGCAGGGGCGCGGCTGGCGCCTTCTCCCTGGCAGCGTCAAGCCGGCAGCTTTGGTGTTCGCGCTCTGTGGTTGAAAGGGAGTGAAGACTCCAAGACCCTCGGCGTCCTGGCCGGCTACAGTCTCTGGCCAGTCAGCGCGTGGCGGACACCTGCGCTTCTGCACGGGTCTCCTCCCTCTCACTTCTCCAGGGCCAGGGGCCTGGAGCAGTTTTGTTTTTCACACCTGCACCCACCAGGTCACTTTAGATGCTTCTTTAAGGGCCTTTGCTCTCCTTTGTTTTGGGGTTTTTTTTCCCTTTTCAGAGAAAAATATGGCACACTTTAACTGGAAGCTGTGCATGATTGCTCGCCCAGAGTCTCAACGACCGGAAAGAGGCAGGCGAGGTTACAAGCCCAGCGGGGCAGCCAGCCAGTGCCCCCCCAGACCTGCTCGTGCTGGCTCTTGCGTCTCGTCACTGCTTCCCACGCCCCCCACCCTTCTGCTCCGCAGCACACGGCTCCCACGCCCCCTCCCTCCATTCCCTTCGTCCCCTGCGCGGTGCACCCCCAGGCTAAGTGCTGGGAGATGCAGTGATGAGAAAGACCAGTGTCTGCCTGAAAGCCGTGCTTTCCGTGGGGCAGAGCAGTGCTCAGATGTAGAAAAGCCCCAGTGGAGGTCACCAGTCGTCTTGATTGGAGGAATTTAAGGACGCTCCATGGAAACAGGGTAAAGTGGCTATTCTACCACCCTGTTTCTTGTCCTTTTATGTTCCTAAAACTGAACAGTAGTGAGGCACGGTGGCACACGTCTGTAATCCCAGCATTCAGGAGACCGAGGCAGGAGGACTGCCACAGTTTGAGGCCAGCCTGGACTACATAGTGAGATCCTGTCTCAAAAACCCCCTGAAGCTTAAAACTAGAATTAAGAAGTCAGAGCTGGCACTCCAGTGTATCCTGTGCATCCAGATGACCCAAGCAGCTGCCTCACCGGTTCGTGACACTAAGAATCCCGTTCCTTCAGACAGCACCGGTTTTGTTGCTGATGGCACGGCCTCACCCCACACCTAGCAGTCCCAGCTCACTCTCACCGCCGATTTAAGGGTCCTTTTGTCCTCTTCCCTCCTGCTCTTTCGTTCTCCGTTCTGTTCTCATTACTTCCTGCTTTCCCTGCTTATCCATTGTTTTCTTCTCTACTTTTGCCCTCTGTCTCGTGTCATCTATCCCTGCAGCCAGAACCTGATGCTGGGAAGGGTGGTGACCTCTGCTGGCCCTTGGGACTTGCAGCACTGCTCCCTGGCGGTTGATTTTGCTACAAGCCTGGGACATTTACGTAGTTCTAGAATAGGGGATCGTGTGATATTTAAATTTGCTCTGTGTCCATCTTTAACTGACAATTTTTGTGGAAGGTTTGTATTTATACTCTGTCGATGTGCTGTGAAATTTCATTTCGGGATCTTTTTTAGAATGAAATTCTTGGTTCGTCGGTGGCATCGAGTCACAGGTTCTGGTTCCGTCAATATTAACAGAGATGGCTTTGGACTGCATCCAGGTGAAGTCAAAATAGCGCATTTCCTTCTATTTGTGACTCTGAAATTACTATAATAATTTCTAAATAATGAATTCCAGAGCCAGTGTTGCTCAGAGACTGACTCTTTAACCAGGTTGGGGACCATGGTTTTTTTAAAGGATATTAACAGCTGATTTTTAAAACTCAGTTAGGCTACACCAACCCCTGCTTATGTAGTCGTCCAATTAATAATGTAAGCAGTTACTCTTACGCATGCGGCAAAGATGAGAAACAGAGCTATGGAAAACACATTACTGGCCCCAGATCACTTGCTCAGGAAGTAACGGAGCCAGCACCAAACCCTGGTGGTCCAGCTCAAGCCGGTGCTTTCGCCTGCATTCCAAGCCCTGGCTCAAGAGAGGCTTGGTCAGGTGGAGTAGTTACGGTTTATTGCCATAGTTTAGTGATATTCAAACAGTTGTTGAGTTTATTAGTAGGTTGGACAGTGACAGTGACGGTTAAAATTCTTCTCTACACACCTAAGAGGAAGGAGGAGACATCAGGCTTAAACATTTTGGGCATCAGGATGAGGTTAAAAGCTGGAGCATACACGGTGCTAGAGGACACAGCACACCTACCTTGTGTTGGTACTAAGCTGTCTTTACATATTCTGCCACTAGCTGGGCAACAGAGAAAAGGGAAATGTGTATATTCGGTGTCATGGAATTATTGTGAAGAACATATTACCACACTGCAATAGCTGAAGTGTTTGCCATAGTGAGTTATGTGCTGTATTCAAAGCTAGCAAACCTTGATTGCAAGTAAACCGAATTTTTTGTTCGTACTGTTATCTCCTTTAGCATAATCGAAAATGACTATAACTAGGACACAATGTAGTGTAGTGTACTAGTCCACTGAGACCTTACCTACTGATAGAATTTTTCCAAGGGTTTTATTTTTTTCTTTATAATGGTACATCTTGGGTTATTTTAGGTGCTGAAAAGACAGACCCATTTTATCATTCTTCTGGTGGGCTGGAGCTGTATGGAGAACCAAGACATACGACATACCGCTCAAGATCAGATCTGGAATATCCCAGGTCTCCTTTACCATTTCAACATAGGTAAGAATCTGATCTGACCTGACTGGAGTAAATACATGAATATTTAACAAAAAAAGATGGACCCTGTTAGGACTTCCACTTCCTTGCACTGCAGTAGCTATGTATCTTTGCCTGAATGTAATTTACATAACCCAAGGCTCAGAATCAAAGCTAGTTTTTGAATGTGTAAAATTGATGTCACTGGCCCTTATGAGAATTCTAACAGTCTACACACCAAGATGTATTTATAAATGCCCAACATTTCCTGAGAATTTGACAGGCATTGTAGTGGGCACTCTGTGACTTGGTAGCATCTTTGAATCTGCTGAAGAGTTTTTTGTCATCTCAAACTTAGAAGCATGGAGGGTTTCGATGAGGCAATGGCCTACCTTTGGGGAGCAGTGGACGGAAACAGGCTGGTAAGTTGATTGCGTCTTTTCTGGATAATTTGGATTCATGTATATGTTTAATTCTTAGGTATCCAGGCACTCCAGCTGATTTAAATCCTGGCTCCCTAGCGTGTTCTCAGCTTCAGAACTATGATCCTGACAGAGCTCTGACAGATTACATCACCCGGCTAGAAGCACTACAAAGACGACTTGGAACTGTACAGTCAGGTATTCCATTTACTTACTTGTCGGTAGCACCATGTCAGACCCACGGCTCTTTCTTTCTGAAACTGCTTGACCTTCGGGATACTCAAATCTTTCAGTACACAAGTTACCAAGTTAGCCAAACCTTAAACTGTGTAACCCGCAGAGCCTTCAAAGAATTTAAGACATAATTTATCACCCAGAATCTTATTCTGCCCAAATGTGACTCCATACTGTCTTTACGCAGCGGATTAGACAAAATGCAGGATGAGCAGCAATGCCTTAGGCACCCTGCACATTTTACAGTCACCTGGAGAACGTGTTCCTGAAGTAACCAACCAATGGTGGAAAGTGCCAAGCACTGAACTCCCGCCAGCCTTCATGCAGCCATCACCCCTGCTGCTCCACTGTGCTCATGGATGCTGAAAAATATCCCTTAAAAGACCTCGTAAGAGGCCTGGGGATGTAGCTCAGCAGCACAAGCACCTGCCTGGCAAGCTCAAGGTCCCGAGTTTGATCCCTGGTACCCCACCCCCCGCAACAAAAAGAGGCCTCTTAAGTATGATCCATTTACTTTTCTCCTCAAAAACACACTGAACGCATCATACTTTATAATGCAGACGAATTCTCTGCTCATCGTTTCCCAGTCTCCCTTCAGTTTACTCTTGATCCAAGGACTGTTTAAGTGGTTTTGCTCTCAGTCTCCTTTCATAATGTTTAACTTCATCAAGGGCAGTTTTGCTGTCAGTCTGCTTTCATAATGTTTAACTTCATTAAGGACAGTTTTTTCCTACCAGCCCCACAAACTTGGACTAATAGTAGGTTGAGGTTTTTTGTTGGTTTGGCCCGTTGTTTTGAGCATCCAGATTTCATTAGGGCCCAGATTTTGCCCTTGGTCTTAGCCAAAAGGCTGAGTGGCAGTAGGACCCAGATTGTGAAGATCAGATTTTTCAAGCTAATTCATCTTTCAGAAGCACTTTATGGAACTCTTTAGCATTAGTCTTTCTTACCTTGGGCCACTCATGGTGACCTTTCAATACATAATCAGAATCTCTTTTAAAAACTAGTCCAAATATGAATGACATTTTCAGGATAAGAAAGCATTTTTTTAATGCTGGAAAAAAGTAATCTGTTTTGTGTGAATTAACCTGGTACAGGTAGTAGTCTAATTTGAAATCACAGAAATTGTTTTTTTCTTGTAGGGTCAACTAATCAGTTTCATACTGGCATGAGAAGATAATCCTTCAAAACATCATTAAATGAAGTGATTTTAATGAAATTCCTTTTTGTAAATCAGTGGTTCTTTTGTGCTTTTGTATTGTGAATATTCAATGGGACCATTATAAACACAGCTTATGATTGTATACAAATCCCTTGCCAGCACATGAAAACAAACTGGAATTTGTGTATATAAGCACTGTGTGTGTATTCATGCACAATAATCATTACATGTATATTTGTGGAATGCTAATTTAAATGATTAAATTATGAACCTTGTGTATTTATCAAATGGGTAAAAAGATTAAACTTGCCAATTATGATACTGCTGGATGTGTAGCTTGCAGTGCCCTGCACTTTTCTTACAAGGCTACTGAAGTTACATGTTTCTGCCTAATATATTTGCTACTGGTGATGAAGACAAGAACATACCACTTGTAGAGACCTATTTTTGTATAATGGTAGAAGTTTTGGATTTTATGGGGTATTTTGTCAAGTACTGAAATAAAAATGACTTCGCCATTTTCACCACACGGTATTTGAATCGTCTTCATTTTTAAGTAAGCCATACTTCTTGATGCATGGTTACTTTTCTCAGATATGCAGGACTCAGTTGTCCTAGTTCTAGAAGGACCTATTAGAGCTTTCTCTGCCTCCACTGAAGAAAGTTTTCCATCCGCCTTTGTATCAGCTTTTTACCTGTGGGAAGTATTTATGTTATATTGGTATTTGTGTGGTTAATCCAAATTTCCTCTATTATATTTAGTATTTCTTTTATCCAAAGATGGCACATGTCTTGGCCTGTCAAGATACAGAAATCATTTAGCCTAAAGAATCTTTAAGTTGTATTGATCACAGTCCTACAGAATTAAATATACCTGCTAAGCCAAATTCAGACTGGTGGGTTCACAGATAACACAAGAGTCTAGCGTCTCCCCAGCCACATGGCACCTCACTAAGGCAGCAGTATTTGTCACTAACATCTAGAGGATTTTCTTATTATCTGATGTCCTATTACTCCTATCAACACAGACAGGCACATTACGTAGTACACTGCTACACTCTTTTAACATTTCAAATTACTCAAATTTCCCATATTAGCAGGTAAGCTCCAAGAGGAGTTTTAGACAAAGCAAAATAATTGAAGGTGGAAGAGTTACGGGTGAAAACCTCGCTCCAGGCTGCGCTACAAGGAGGCAGTGAAGAAAGGCGCAGACGAACACAGCTGCGCTCACTCCCACTGCTTGACCATCAGCCCTTCTGAGACCTCTGTAGTCACATTAACTTGTGCTACTCCAGAAGCAGACTGTGATGACAAAATAACTCTCAAGTCCAGCACTTGCCTGACATGCACAAGGCTGTGGGTTTGATCCCCCCCAAAATAATAAATTCTGTTAGAAGGCTGAAATGATTCACTAAACAGACTTCTAACCTTAGTTCAGGTTCTTTTTTTGTGCCATGAAATTTCTTCAGCAGTCTGGTGAAGCTATACATCCTTTTTCATAATACTGCTTTTAAAGACAAAACATGCAGGATTGCAAAGGAAACCAACAAACCTGTCAAACTAGAAACTTTACAAATGACAAAACTCTCAATAAACAAGAAAAAAATCTGCAGAAACTCTGAAACTACTGATGGAAATTAATTGCTACAACCACTTACAGGGCAATTTAAAAATATCGCAAATAATTGTATTCCCTCAAACCCAGCAATATTATTCTTGGTAATTTCCCCAAAGAAGCCTCAGAAGACAATGTCACTGCAGTTAGAGAAAACTGGATCAAGTACAATGTCCACCTGTAGGAAAATAAATCATGTTTCCCAAAGGTAAAGACAATGGTACCATTAAAATAAATGAACCACATCTATATGTAAAAAGGAAACTAGTGCAAAAGTAAAGATGTAATTTTCCCCATCCAAGTTCCTGGATGCCCCAACTCTACTCCCTGAAGCACACACTTCACAAGCTTTTTTCTCAAAGAGAATTTTAATGCAAAAAAACAAAGATTTTTTGCCTTCACAAGAGTCTAATACAAGTCTTCCAGCCTCTTCAACAGAATGTAATATACACAAGGGAAAACATTTTGGCTTCATCTGGTAAAAATGGGTTATGTGCTCAAATTGCAGGTATCTCACATAGTTAGGCTCCCAGTATTATTGAATTAGGCTGCTTCCCAAATACAGGCTTCACAATATGACCAAGAACACTGTCCAATGACCCTGATCTGTATTACTTTCATCCTCGATTCAAAACACTGAACTGTTTGAATCAAGAGAACTAGCAATACAAACAGCCCAAACTGCATTTTGGAGAATAGGCAGGAACAACCTTCAGCCAAGGAAGAAAAACTTACTCAATAAGGCTTTTACACACATAGGACCTTGTGGAAACACATTATTTAGCAGATGGAGAAATTTAGCACATATCAAAATATACTGTTTTTAGTATTTATTTATTTTTTTTTTTTTTTTTTTTTTTTTTTTTTTTTTGGGTTTTTCTCCGGTACCGGGAACCGAACTCACGACCTTGCGCTTGCCAGGCAAGCGCTTTTGCCGCTGAGCTAAATCCCCAGCCCCCTAGTATTTATTTTTTAGGAAATACTATCAAGGCACAAACCTAGATCTCTCAACTTCCTACAATAAGTGCTTCCAGTTAAAATTCAGTTTATTTTTCTACATTATAGTTCCATCACTGGTAATGATCTTCATACCGAAACAATTAACTATTTTTGATCCAAGGCTTTCACTACAAGTTGATTCCCTACCTTCCCATACTTACTTACGAAAGTTACCAAGGAAAATGAGTAACATGTCATCTTCCAAGTATTCCTGGTCTTTTTACACCTCGCAGAAGTGGTCCCAGACCTGACTCTCCTGAACTTATTTGCCAAAAGTTCTGCATGCTTTTAAAATTAGTACCCAAAAGGTGTATTACTTAGAATCCGCCAACTACCTAGATTCACCCTGAACAATTCCTTTTACTAATAAACTTGGCTTCTTTAAAGCACACCTAAGTATCAAAACTATTATAAACTGTTTCAAATACCACCATATTTGATAGGTCAGTTAGCAAAACATTAAAATCATAAATTAAACTCGCTTTTAGAATTTTAAAACACAGCACTGTTGTGTTGCTTCACACACTTCATTCTCCCCAGATGCATTTGCAGCTTACACTGACGTCCCATTAGTTCACTGAGGCGCTCTTCATTTTGCCCTCCGTTTGTAATGGATAATGGGGTTTGCAGGGGTGTGGATCATAGTTGTATAATTCACAGCAGGAAAATATCCATCCACGAGATCAAATTCATACAAACGAAACAGGGTGGACCAAATTGTCTTAATTTGAACGTAAGCAAAATTTTCCCCAATGCAACGATGACGTCCTGTTTAAAAAAAAAAGATTTCATCAAAAACTTATTTAAACTCTTTACCTCTTTCAGCGTAGAGTGATCATTCGCTTAAAACTACGTTTCAAGATGAAGAGCAAATAGACATCTTTCACAAAAAGTAAAAATGTAAATGGTTAAAAACCCCAGAATATTCTCAGTGTTTTTAAGAAAAGAGCACTTGGCTCACTCATTATGACGATTTTTGCAATGACTTAGAAATTTAACAACTACTTGGGTTTGAATCATGAGATGGTATTCTAGTTTGGGAATGTACTAGAACATTCTGTTTCTTTCCCAAGAAAGCCCTAGTTAAAATTCGGTATAAACCTTTCAATCAAAGTGGCGCCAGGGATATAGCTCTGAGGCACAGTACGTGCCTGGCAAGCACAAGGTCCTGAGTTCCAATTCCTGGTACCAAAAAAAAAAATCTCATGGTGTTGTACAGTTGTAATCTCAGCACTTGGGAGGCTGAGGCAGGAGGACTGCTACAGGTCTGAGGCCAGCCTTTACATAGCAAAACCGGCTCAAAAAAAAAAAATGTAAAAAATAAATGGCAAACACAAGAGAACTAAAAGGGGGCCAGGGCCTTAAAATGCCACTATGGGAGAAAAAAAGGGATTTAACAAAACTAATACAACATTTACTAGTGTCAAAATTTGAAAAAGTCATATAAGAGATGACAAGCTAATTCTAAAATGCATAAGGAAATACAAAAGATCTATAATACTCAAATCTTAAAAATAGACCGTTTTGGAGGAATTAAAACTGACCACATTTGACTTCAAGACTAATGGTACAGCAACGAAGCCAATGTGGTACTGGATAAGGATCAAGAAACACATCAGTGGGACACAAAAGAGTGCCTAGAAATATTTTTGTGGTTATGTGATTATCTTTGACAGTGATAAGGCAAGAAAATAACATCTTCTCAACACAGTACTACTAGACAATGCAAAAGGGAAAAAACTTCAATTCCTGTCTCCCACCCTACATTAATTCAAGATGATCACAGACCACAAAGGCTAAAACCAAGTGTTAGTAGAACAGACCACTTCCTGACGTGGGACTAGGCAAACACAGGACTCGACAGCAATAGCCATTTAGAAAGTTGATAACTAAAGTTGTTCATGTATCAAACATGACTGAATGGTGACTTCAGATTTAAGCATTTTGTTGTGAAATCTGTAAGTATTATCAAAAGAAAAAAACATGCTGAATGTGCCATATTTAAGACTAGCACACACTAGGGGCTGGGGATTTAGCTCAGCGGCAAAAGCGCCTGCCTGGCAAGCGCAAGGTCGTGAGTTCGGTTCCCGGTACCAGAGAAAAACCAGAAAAACCAAAAATTTTGCTGCCATTCTATATGTTGTCTCTTCTCTCTGTTAGCTTTTTTTTTTTTTTTTTTTTTTGGTTGTTTCTTTTGCTGCCAGAAACTTTTTAATTTGATAAGAACCCATTTGTTGATTCTCAAAATTATTTCTTGTGCCACTGTTGTGTAAAGAAAGTCCTCGCCTACACCTGTCTCTTTAAGAGTTGTACTTATTTTATCTTTCAGTAGATCACGTTTCTGTTTTAACACTTAGATCTTTGATCCATTTTGATTTTAGTTTGGTACACGCTACGATATATGGGGTCTAGACTCAATCTTCTGCATGTGGATATCCAATTTTCCCAGCACCATTTATTTAAGAGGCTATCTTTCTCACAGTGTGTGTTTCTTACAGTGTGTGTCAGAGATCAAATAGGTTGGTGTACCTGGGGCTGTTTCTGTTACCTCTAATCTAGTAATAACAACTGCTGATAAGGATATGGGAGAAAAGGAACTCCTCTACATTGCTGGGGGGAATGTAAACTAGTAAAACCACTATGGTAATCACTGCAGAGACTCCTGAAAAAACTAAAAATACAAATTCCATTTGACCCAACTATCCCCCTTCTAGGTATCTTCTCAAAAGAGTTAAAGTCATCATGTTACAGCGATACATGCGCACCCACATTTATAGCAGCACAATTTGTAATAGCTAAATCTTGGAAACAGTGCATGTCCATCAACACATGAATGGATAAAGAAAATGTATTTATACACAGTGGAGTACTACTCTGCCACAAAGAAAGATGAACTTGAGGTATCTATAGACAAATGGGTGCAACTGGAGAACATAATGTTAAGTGAAATAAGTTAGACACACAAGCTGAAATATAGCTTGGTTTCTCTTATATGAGAAACTCAAAACATATACATGTATAAATAAAGAGCAAAATAGAAGCTAGAGAAATAGGAAGTAGGGTGATGTTCAAATAATTCCCCAAATTCTCTATTCCATTGTTTCAAAAATATTTCAACATATATGCTATTTTGTTTCATTTATGCTAATTTCTCTCAGTTTTATTGAAAAGGAAGTTTTTGTGCTGTGATCTGTTTGTTTCTTTTTTTTGTTTGTTTTTTGTCTTTTTGAGACAGGGTCTTATTATGTAGTTCAGGCTGGCCTTGAGCTCACTTTGTAGCCCAGGCTGGCCTCGAACTCACAACAATCCTCCTGCCTCAGCCTCCTGCATGCTGGGATTACAGGCATGCGCCACCAGGCGTGCACCACCACGCCCAGCTGTCTGTTTCTTTTTTTGTAAAAGAGTCTTTTTCACCTGTGACTTGTACTCCAAAGTAAGGTCCACCCAGAATCTCAGGATACAAATTTATTTGAAACAAGGTCATTATATATGTAATTAAAGTGGTGTGACACTTTAGACTTAGGGTAGGCCCTAGATCTAAAAGACTGGTGTCCCTATAGGACAGCAGTGTGAAACACAAAGACAGCCAAAAGGGAGAGCCTGGTGATGACAGAGGAAGGAATTAGAGCCAAAACAAAGGATATTTATAAACAAAATCTACATGAGTTATGCTGACAGGGACAAATGTTAAAACCAACATTTCAAACTGAAAGGTCATCATCTTACCAGCTCCAAATGGCACATAGGCAAACTTCTCTCCTGACGCTGGGTTATCACGTAAGTAGCGATCAGGGTTAAAGTCCAGACGCTCTACCCAGGAGTCTTTAAGTCTCTGGTTGACAGTGGGAGAAACGCACACCTGATGCCCCGGAGGAATGGTGTACCCTGCCACAGTCTACAGATGGAAGCAACACACTGCATTAGAGAATTTTACCCATTAGGTCACCGTGGAATAAAGAGCTACACATATATTTAAGATCCAGCTAGATGACAAACCAGCTAAAAATTACTCAAATGATCTGTAAGTAAGCCAACACTGAGTTGGACGTACGCACACAAATCCATAATGCCTCAGAGGCAGACAGAATTTTAGGGAGCCTTTCACTACCTAATTTAAATACTTCATACGATCACAATTTTTTTTCAACAAAATGTGTTATGTTGAAAACCAAGAAGAATGTCAATTACAAGTGACATTTCAAAAATTCAATTGTTAAATGAAAATTAAGAGAATAGCATTAGAGATGGGCATATATACTATCTTGCCATTATGTAAATGTCCATGTATTTAGTATAAAACTTAAACTTATGTAAAGCAATTTTTTTTTAATTTAAGAAATTCTCTTTCATACCACTGTATCTCCTAAGTTTGATCAATAAAAACTGGGGCACAGAGGAGTGAGCTAAGCAAGAGACTCACCTGAGGAGTTCTGGCCATTCTCATCATGGTCATTATAGGAGGTCGAAGTCTTAATGTTTCTTTTATGCAGCGATCAAGGACATTTAGATCCTTGAGCTAAAAAGAAAAAGTATTTCCTGATTCTTTACAAATACTTAACATACTCGACAGTATAAAAACATTAACATCTTGGTCAGTGTAAGGCAGGCTGCACTCTGGATTGAAGAACAGAGACAACTGGCTGGGCGGGGGGAGGGGGGCGGGGGGGCTTCTGAGATTACCATGCACTTTCATGCCCAAGGTCAACACGAAAAAGGAAGGCAAGATAACAGGAGGAGGGGCAATCATGCTGGACAGCAGCACGGGAAAGACACGACTCACTCCTCCAAAACACAAGAGCATTAGCAAAACATCATCGATCTCAACTTCTTCAAACCAAATCAACCAAAGGCTTTCAATAATTAAAGGAAAGCTGATTCGAGAAACAAAAGTAAATGCTGGTGAGAAAAGCAAGGTTTGTGGTAGTATAAGAAGGTAAAGAGTATTTCCTGATTTTTTTAATATAGTGTAAAAAATCCTCAACAAAATACTAGCAAATAAAATTCAGCACATACAAAAAGGACAGGAAGGAAGGAAGGGAAAGAGGGACTGAGGGAACAAAGAGAGAAGGCAGCTCAGGACAGCCTGAACTACACAGTAAGACTCTGTCATGAAAGAGAAAGAAAGAAAGGAAAGAAAGAAAGAGAGAAAGAAAAGGAAAAAGAGAGAGAAGAAAGGGAAGGAAGGAAAAGGAAAAGGAAAAAAGGGAAGGGAAGGAAGAAGGAAGGAAGGGAAGGAAGAAGGAAGGAAGGGAAGGAAGAAGGAAGGAAGGGAAGGAAGAAGGAAGGAAGGGAAAGGAAGAAGGAAGAAAGGGAAAGGAAAGGAAAGGAAAGGAAAGGAAAGGAAAGGAAAGGAAAGGAAAGGAAAGGAAAGGAGGAAGGAAGGAAGGAAGGAAGGAAGAGAGGAAGGAAGGAGAGAGAAAGAGAGAAAGAGAGAAAGAGAGAGAGAAAGAAAGAAAGAAAGAAAGAAAGAAAGAAAGAAAGAAAAAGAAAGAAAGAAAGAAAAAGAAAGAAAGAAAGAAAAAGAAAGAAAAGAAAGAAAGAGAAAGAGAAAGAAAGAAAGGAAAGAATGAAAAAAAGAAAAACAGAGAGAGGAAGAAGGGAAAGATGGAGGAAGAGAAAGGACAGACTCTATTCTGAAGTAAGATTTATCACAAGAATATAAGAATCAACACCTGAAAAATTAATGTAATACGCCATACTAACAGAGGACCAAAACACATGCATAACAGGAAGAGGATGTTACTAAGGTTTGCTTCAAAGACGGACTCTCAGGTTGTACAGTGAAGCCTTCTCATTTCCTTTTCTGCCCAACGAGATGGTTCAGTGTTTGCAGACTTTACAGCCCCATTACCACCACTACTCCTTTTAGAAGATTCTGCTCAAGCACAGACCATTCTGGACACACAACTCTATGCAATTCAGAGGCTTTTACACTTCATCATACAGACATACACAACCTTCATCTGATGAAGTTTAGTGAAAAGAAGAAATATTAGAATATTTTAGGTAATGTTACAGGAAATTTCCTAAAAATGGGACAACCCAAATTAAGCTAAAGTATAAGCAAAACTTCAAGTTGTCCTTCAAAATAGACAAATTAGCCACAGATGCTAAACATTATAAAACAGAAATGAAATAAAAATCCAACAAACCTGGTCATAAGTTAAAGGAGGCAGGTCTTCTCCACAGACTGTTTTCTGTTCTAAATAACATTTTTCTTGTAGCGTTTTGTCTCTGGCCAAAAAGAAGCCCATCCAGGCACTGGTGGTTGAGGATGTGTGCTGCCCTGCCAAGAGCAGTCCTATAAGCATCCCTGCTATTTCATCATCTGTCAAAGGACGGCCATCTCTGCAGAATGAACCACACAGATACTGAACACTTGGGCAAACACACTTCAAGTCTCAACCCGAATACACTGTTCAGGCGTAACAGCCCCTTTCATCTGCCTACCCCACATCAGCGCCCCCGCCCACCCCAGGGAGAGACTGACAGAGGAAAAGAGGAGCACAGGTTGTCACCACGCTCAGTCACGGATGCCAGGAAATAATGAGGCCCCAGGAATTCAGGTCTCAACAGTGTAAAATGCAAAGGTCATAGCTAACTACTTATTCTGTCAACCTCCATATTTTTTAACTGGAAATATTATTTAACTATGTTTTAATGTGTAATTTCCCACGTTAGCTTAGTATCTCATGTGGACAACACCTACTTGTATGTAGACTCTAGTAAGGTTTGGAGAATATCATCAATTTTTTCTTTTGATTGCCTACGCTTCTGGATTGCCTTATAGAAAATATTCTTGATCTTCTGATGAGCTCTATCCCTGCGCCTGTAATTTAAACATAAAAATGATTTTTTAAAAATAATACTTTCTAGGCTTTAATTCATTTTGAAAACCAGGTCCTCAGTTAAGGCAATCTTACTTAAATAATTTTAAGGACCTTAAATTAATTCACAAAATCAGAACCATCTAGGCATAGTGGCACATGCTGAGGATCACAAGCTCAAAGCCAACCTGGACAACAACTTAGTGAGACCTTATCTCAAAATAAAAAATAAATAGGGGACTGGGGATGTATCTCAGTGGTTTTTTTTTTTTTTTTTTTTTTTTTGGTTTTGGTTTTGGTTTTTCTCCGGTACCGGGAACCAAACTCACGACCTTGCGCTTGCCAGGCAGGCGCTTTGCCGCTGAGCTAAATCCCCAGCCTCTGTATCTCAGTGGTGAAGCACTTACCTAGTATGTGTGAGACCCTCGGTTCAATCCCCTTTACAATAACAACAAAAAAATTAAAATCTAAAACCAAGAAAAACCTCATAAAAATCTTAAGAATTTCTACAGCTATTAGATCCAAAAACAATGTTATTGTACACTCTACATCTCAGATTCTTAACACACTACCTGTCTTCTAACTGCAGGCCCACAATAGGCATCAAATTCCTTTAAAAACATCTTTCAGTTTAACACAAAGTAAAATATTCTTCTAAATTAACACGCAACTTAATTTTAACCAAATCAGTTTTGAAGAAGATTCACTCATTCTTGAGCCTATCTTTCATTTTTCTAAAACACAGTTCTACAGGGAGGAAAATTCAAGTAGATTCAGAAAATCAGCTTCAACTCCCAAAGCTTTACTTTTAAACAGCAGCAGCAACCACCTCAACTTGCACGTAGCCAAAGATCACACCCCCAATGAACAGCAGAACTGGCCCTTAAAACCAGGCAACCTGACTGCCAAGCACTCTCTCTATAAGCCCCAAATTTCTGCCCTATTTTACTGGAAAGACTGCTTTAGGGGATCGACTGAGATGCTATGTACAGAAAGAAATTCAAATTTCAGTGTGAATAAAGCAGAGCCTACTGAAGAAGGTGAATGGAGGGCAGGGCCATCTTTCAGACAGAGAGCACATACTTAGTCTGTCTGCATAGCGCCCCAGGTTCAATTCCCAGCACACAAAATAAATAAAAAGAAAGTGAATGGAATAATTTGGTTAAATCTTTTGGTCCAAGTTTAAAAAAAAGACTACGGCATCATATCAAATTCAGGGATTCCGGTTCACCCAGGAGATAGAGCAGATGGAAACAGGCTGGATATACGTTTATGGAAAACCAGGGCCAAGAGCTGTGCTGAGTGCTGCAACGCAATACAGAGGAAAAGGACTTTGAAAACTGGGAAGCTCCTGGCAACTACAAGGTGCTATGAGTTCCAGAGGAACTCAGAGAACCTCTCCTGACTTTCTCTTTTATTCAGACTACTATTACTCTGTAATTGGAATACCAGTTTAACTCCTCCCCATCACTCACCTAAATGGATGTGATTCAGTGAAGATTTAGAAAGCTAACGTGCATGACCCTCGGTAAGTTATATATCATGTTCTAAAAGAAAGCCTCTACCCTTAAGCAAATCCCACAACACTTGGCAAAGGGCCAAAGAGAAAATTAAACAAAGGCACAAAGCCGGGCATGATGGCACACGCCTGCAATCCCAGCACTCGGGAGGCTGAGGCAGGAGGACTGCTGCAAGTTGAAGGCCAGCCTGGGCTACAAAGTGCGTTCAAGGCCTGCCTGAACTGCATAGTGAGACCCTGTCTCAAAAATAAAAAAATAAAGGCACACATATTCAGAAGAAAGAAATTTAGTAATATATATACTAAAAAACCATTAAAGAGTTTCAAACAAGTGCTTAAAGCAGGGCTTTTAGAGAAAGTTCAGAGACTTTCCTGAGTATAAGGAGGTAAGCTTTAAAGTACTAAATAGTAAATTACCATTTTAACAAACTAACTTTAAATAAGCTCACTACATAATGAAAACCTTTCTGAGTTCTTATAAAAGTTCATAATCTCCCCAAATTTGACAGCATATCAACAGCACAGTATACAAAGTTAAATAACTACATGCACTATCTTGTTATCCATACCTGAAGCTAGGCAGAGGCAGCCAACCTGGCAGCAGCCAGGCTGCATGGCTAAAACCTCCATCCAGATCTGCATACAGCTGTGCCACCTGCTCATTGAGTTGACTTCTGATTTCTTTTCCGTGCAAACAATGGCTAGCTGTTAAAATTATGAGCTCAGAAAGAGCTTCAAATAAATCTGGGGAAGAAAAAGATTATTCTTATTACCATACCATCTAATAAACATTTTATGAAATACTGTTTTGTTGAATATATAAAAGGTAGTGATAGAAAACTGAGAATTAAAAAAACAGGAACAAACAAGATCCTATTCATAAAAAAGTCTGCAGACAGATACGTGGCTATGCAGAGCACCGAAGTCAACAGAGCAGATCACGGTGATATAGGACCTCTAAATGATTAAGGGAAATATTATAACTCTCAACCTGTTAGATGTCTGATACAGCAAGTTTGTTTCCCAAAATTAAAGAATGAATTTTAAGGAACAATGAATGGAGGTTAAGAGTAGGCAACTTTACTGGGAGACAGACAGCTCCTCAAAGAGGGGGCCCGAGTGGGTTGCCAATGGGTCCACTACTCAAAGCAAGTTTTACAGAGCGACATCACAAGGTGGGTATAGTATTATGAGGTATGTACAACTTGGGCCAAAACTATTACCAACCAATAAGAATACAAGTATAGCCACTTAGGTAATACTGATCTAATGGGGAAGCAGTCACATACCAAGTGTACATGGAAAGAACAAGGATCTTTTTTGGAAGAGATGAGTCAGGAGGTCCTGGTCACCCATCTAGGTGACCAAAACCTAGCTAGACTTTACTGGACCAGGTGCTCTTAATTAGAGTATATTGCTTATCCCTTGGGGAGGCATGCAGGCCTGGTCATTCTGTCTTTATCTTGAGGCCTGGCCAGCCCATTGTAATGCATTCTCGTCCACTGCACTGAGTCCCTCGAGGGCTTAGCCTGTCTGACTGCCTAAGATATTTTTATCTAACTTAGCTGTCTATAATAACAGGACACACAGTGCCCTCTGGACAGCCACAACAGACGCCAGGAAGGCATCTCTAAACCTCCTTCATGAGCTCCTCTTTACCGTGAAAAGATAACAGAGATAAAACAGAGATTAAAATGAACAAGATTATCTGATTTTCGGGTTACAGTACAAAAAACCAGAAAAAAGATTATTTGGTGCCTCTGAAGACAATAAGGGGCTACTTCCTAAGGAATGACAGTTCAAAGATCTGAATTTTCTCAGGTCAAATACAGGAAGATCAAAACTGAAAACTGAAGTTTTGGCAATGTATAAAAGCGAAGTGTCATCACCAATTGATGTACCCCTACACTGGAGACAGAAGCGTCTGGCAGAAACACTTTGGTGACAATCAAAAGTCATAAAAATTATCCAAGTAATTTCCTGTTCTTTCATTCTACAGTAACCAAAAGAATGGCCCATTAACATTTGGGTTTCCAATTAGACCGCCAAAAAAGAGAAGATCAGCTAATACTCTGGTCTTCTGAAGACTATAAACTCACATGTATTTATTAAATTGCCATTCTAATTTACACATCAGCCTTCTGTACTGTTAGAAAATGTATCACACCAACTTTAGGGGTGCTAAAAACACAATCAGGTTCCTACTCCACTTACAGAAGCTGAAGCCCACACTCAGAATGTGACAACCTGTTGCCCTGGGTACTGTTGCCCTGTGAGCAAATACTGCTCGCTGCTCCAGGTAGGGCAATCACCTCTGAAGAAACACATTACTGCAGTCTAGCGAAAAACCAGATTCACAATAACTAATCCATGAAAATGAGAACACGTCCCTCTCACTAAACCCAAGGTAACTCTACATACACTACACTGTTTCATACACACGCACGCACGCGCGCGTGCACACACACACACACACACACACACACTCTATTTCTAGTCATGGACAAGCAGAAATAACAGGACCTTACTTTTTTCTCCATTTTCTCCCCAACTTTTAAAGTATTCCTTTGTTTCTTCTTCAATTATGGAAACATACTGTTTAAAGTGGGCTATGTTAAGGCCACTTTTTAATATTTTCTTCTGCTCCAAGAAAATCTTTATTAAAAAAAAAAAAAAAAAAAAATCAAGGTTACATGGTATTACAAGATGTTTGCTCTATCACACCAGTAGGTTTGTCTAACTATATAACACTCAAAGAAAACATCCTCAAAAATTGTAAAAAAAAAAAAAAAAAAAAAAACTAAGAATTTTTTAAAACTACACTAGACGTGGCAACTTAGAGCATCTAAGCATTTATTTGAAGGAATGTGTAGAAGAACAGTGTCTGCTGCCAAGGTCCTAAATGAATGAAGTAGGAAGCCAACCTCTTACTCTTTCCTACAGATCCTTTTCCCACTCCTAACTCCAGAGCTCCTTGTTCCCATTCTCTTTAACTTCCAGTCTTCCAACCCAACCCAAATACCAATACAATTTCTTGAAGGTCCATTAAGTTTGATACTGTTTTTATCCTCTTTAACACGTTCTCTTCCTCTATTTCCAAACAAATATCATTTCTCCCTGACAATATCTTCCAGAAGTTTAATGAGAATATAATGTGAACAAAATAAATTTACAGAAAGATAACTAGTGGTTAATCATTTGGGGGCATTTATATTTTAAGACTCTAATAAAATGCAAGAAGAAATATGGATAAACCAAATCTAAGCAGAGATTTTCTGAGGATTTTGCTTTTGAATTTGAGTAGTCATTCTCCAACAATGTGCCCATTTCCAAAAACAACATTTAATCTACTTTAACTGCTGTATTTAAGTGTTACGGCTTGTGTCTAGATGGCTGCCCAAAGCCTCAAGCAGTCACGGAGGAAGGAGGGTGCTTTTCAGAGGTGGCTGGATCTATACTGTGTGATTAGCAAATCAACACACCGACTGGCTTGGCACAGTTCTGACTAAGATTAAGGGTGTGACTGGTACACTCATCCCAGGGAGTGTAGCCTGCATAAAATATAAGGGACAGAAAGAGGGCTAATGTGTTCTCAATGCCTGACCGCTTACAGCACACTGCTTCTCTCCTGCGATGCCCCTCTGCCATGCCACCCTGCCTTGAAGCCAGCAAACTACACACTAAAACCTCTACAAACTGTGAGCCAAATAAACTTCTCCTCCTTTAACTTTGGGTGTCAGGTATTTTGTCTCAGCAATGAAAAAGCTAACTACAACACGTGAGTACTGGGCTATGTGTGTTAGCCAAAGTCCACACACCAAGCAACCGAACCAGTTATCTAAAAGTTACGTTGTGTAACAACTTATACTTTAATATTTAACTTTTTTTTTTTTTTTTTTTTTTTTTGGTTTTTCTCTGATACCGGGAACCGAACTCACGACCTTGCGCTTGCCAGGCAGGCGCTTTTGCCGCTGAGCTAAATCCCCAGCCCCTTTCTCTTTTTTTTTTTTTTTTTTTTTTTTTAATATTTAACTTTTGAAGAGAGAAAACACATAACAAACACTCGCTATACCTGAAGGAGTTGCATTGGAAAGAGGACTTCTGAAGTCAGGAATGTTTAACATGCTTATGCTAGAACTTCAGGGAGTAGGCAGGTTAGAAAGCCCTTTTGATAAAATAATGGGATCTCAAAGAAAATCCCATTATGCTCTTATCATTAATTTCACTTCACTGTACAGGAAGCCCTTTATTTAGGCCATGCCAGGAGGTATAAAATCAAATATAGGGGCTGGGGATTTAGCTCAGCGGCAAAAGCGCCTGCCTGGCAAGCGCAAGGTCGTGAGTTCGGTTCCCGGTACCGGAGAAAAAAAAAAATAAAATAAAAATAAAATCAAATATACGTCTCAGGTCAGCTTACACATTGTTTCTCTCCTTTTACATGTCTCATGCACCTCAGATTTTCTGAACCAAGGAATAAAATGTTTCCACATTGTACATATGTAATATGACACTACTCGCTGTAACTATTCTAGTACAGATTTGCTCTTATTCAAGATAACAGGGTCACTTACTGCATTTGGCACATCATATGCAACTCCCTTCCCAAACACAGGTGTTGTGAGACGACTGTAGACATCTTCTGCATTCAGGTCTTCATTTTTACTATTAAAAAGCAATGCAGCAGCATCACTCCCCAGAAGGTAAGTAAATGTCTTGCCCACCATGGTAAAACTAAATACAGGTCCATACTAAAGAGAGAAAAGCACTCATAGTGATGTTACCAAAAAAAAACTTCTTAAATCATACAATGCATGGCCAAAAATAAACCATTCAACATCTTAAAGGAATTCCTTCTTGTATTTGTCTAAATTTATAATTATGTTCATCTAGTTGCAAATTCAGTATAAAGACAACTGTTTATTCTTTTTTCCACTTTTTTTTTTTGGGTTTTTTTCTCTGGTACCGGGAACCGAACTCACGACCTTGCGCTTGCCAGGCAGGCGCTTTTGCCGCTGAGCTAAATCCCCAGCCCCTTAACTGCTTTTTCATTACTGGATATGGGTAATGCTGTCAGGGTTTTGTTTTAATAAACAATTCTGCAATGAATATCTCTGAAAATATACAGCATGCCCTTTAGCTGAAAATAAATTTACAAAGCAGACAAAACATATGTCCTTCTCTATAAAACATACCATGTGAAGACTCAAGAAGTTTATGTCATTATCAGTTTTACACTATCTCACCAACACTGAATGATTTCATCATGTTAATCTTACTCTTGTTAGGTGTTACAAACTCCACTTTGCGTTTTATTATTATCATTATTATTAGTATTGAAGACTAGACTCTGGGAATATAATCAGAAACAAAAATACTGTCCCTGACTTCGTGAAGCAGTCTCTAGGGAAGGATACAAATCAAGTAACACATGAACAAATGTAAAACTGCAGGTGTGACAGTATTATATAAAAAACAACTGCGATGAAAGGGAGACGTAAAGAGGAAAAGGCATCTGCACTGAGCCCTGAAGGATGAACAGGAGTTAGCTTGGCAGCTGAGCACGCTCAAAGGTCCTGAATGAGTGAGTGGGAAGGAAGTGACCAGAATCAAAGGTCAGGCAGCACTTACACCACAGTCTGATAAATCAGATTAAAGAAGTTTTTGCTCACAAGCAAAAGGAAAAAGTTTAAATTATGTGGAAAAGAGACATTAGTCTTTGTATATTTTAAAAGAGAGATTCCTCTGACGGCTGTGCACAAAGGACGGAGGGGCAGAACAGAAAAGATGCCGAAGGCCCAGTTAGAACTCACTGCATAAACCAGAAGATAAACTCTTGCCACAAAATGGGACAGCAGCAATAGAAGCTGACAGGTAACGAAGGTATTTTGGAGACTGACAGTATGCAGACCTCGCAATGGATGACACAGCGAAGGAAGTATGGAGAAGCAATTTTATTTCTGGTACACTGCTAAACTAGAAAAAAATAATGATAACAGAAAAGTGAGATAGGACAACCAGAACTGGAAACAGAAAAATCAGCAGTTAAGCATCAGAAATACTGAATTTCTGATGCCTTTGAAATAACCAAGAATCACATGGAAATTCGATATCCAGGTCATCAGCTCAGAGTCCAGCGCCACAAACATTAACGTGGGTGTCTACATACGGTGATATTCAGTTAACCTACATGTACAGAGAAAATCACCTAGAAAATAAAGGGATATGACGACCTTAGCAAGCACCAATAGTAAATGGACCGGCATGTGCTCACAGGCAAGTTAGAAAGAAGCGAAGAGGCCAAGATCACTGGTCAGACTAGGGTGGACTGCAGAGTAATTAGGCAGGAGTTATAGAAATAGAGACAGTGAGCACAAACAAGTCACAGAAGGGACAAAGTGGTTAGCAGAAGCTCTGCATGGGCACAATGGCACATGCCTATTAACCCAGCTACTCTGGGAACTAATGCAGGAAGATCACAAGTTTGAGGCCACCCTGGGCACCTCTGGAAGATCCTATCTCAAAATCTGAAAAATAAAAACTGGGCTGGCCATGTAGCTCATCTAGCATGTGTGAGGCCTTGGATTCAATCCCCAGTACTGAAGAAAAAGGAAAAATATTTTTACTTTCATAAGTAAGCAACACTTGGAATTTTTCAGAAGAAAATAAATGCAGGGGGCTGGGGATTTAGCTCAGCGGCACAGCGCCTGCCTGGCAAGCGCAACGTCATGAGTTCAATTCCCGGTACCGGAAAAAAAACAAAAAAAGAAAATAAACGCAGTTGAGAGAAATAATAGTATAAGGTTTGTGAAACAAAAGAAAGGAATGGAGGGTTCACCTTCCAAGAGGACGCAACATACTATACAATAAAATTAAGGTAAAAGGGGCTGGGGATTTAGCTCAGTGGCAAAGCGCCTGCCTGGCAAGCGCAAGGTCGTGAGTTCGGTTCCCGGTACTGGAGAAAAACCAAAAAAAAAAAAAAAAAAAAAAAAAAAATAAAATAAAATTAAGGTAGAGACTACACTGAGCTATAGCACAAGATTCCGGAGTCAGACTGCCTGGGTTCAAATCCCAGCTCGTCCACTATCAGTGTGTAACCTCAGTCTCACAGTCAGAAAATTTAACCTTTCTCTGTTTCAGTTTCCCCCAGCTATAAAACAGTAACAAAAATAGGACCCATTCCACAGACTGCTGTCCGGATGATATACATTATATGTAGAGGGCACAGAAGAGTGTCTTAGACAGAGTAAATGAGTTATTTTCTGTCATTATTATTATCAGAAACATCGGCCCAGGAATCAGACCATGGGAAAGTTTGGCTTGTCCACTGGCTGGCAATGAGCCCTGTAGCAAATTTTAATCTGTTTTTCAACTTTGTTATCTACAAAATGTACATATTAAGGGTTTCAGTGGACATTCAGTAAAATAATGATAAGCACTAAATCCTAGCATAGTAAATTTTATTATCACTATTACAGAAAGACAACAGAACACAGAAACAAACAGGTCTGTATGTCTGAAACTGAGAACATGAGGGAACTCTCACTGAACGGTTTTTAATCGATCTTTAAGCAAAAGACGAAGTCACTTGATTTAATGCAGAGATAGAAAAATTTGTAAGTTTATGCTGGGTATAATGGTGCACATCTGTTATCCAAACACTCAGGAAACTAAAGTAGGAGGACTGCTGCGAGTTTGAGGCCAGCCTGGGCTACACAGTGAGTTTGAGGAGAGTATGAACTACATAGCAAGACCCTGTCTCAAAAAAACAAAAAAAGAACGAAAACAATTAAGATTCATAAGTTTAGAAAAGTGAAGATTTGAATTAGTTATTGAGATGAACAGAAATATAGCCAATCATAAGAACAAAACAATTGTTGAGCAGTATTCAAATTTCATGCAAGGCAGGCAATCATGAAATTAGGAAACTAATCTGATGCAAGAAAGGAGAAAACGAGTGACTTCTTCCACCTTTGCGGTTTTTTTTTTTTTTTTTTGGTTTTTCTTCAGTACCGGGAACTGAACTCACGACCTTGCGCTTCACCTTTGCAGTTTTTCCAAGTAAGATGAAGAAAAAAATCTAGGCGCAAGGAAACCGAAGGTCTTGACAAGAATGTAACTTAAATGATGGGCCATGGACCAAAATTAAAACAAGAAAAATGAAAAAGGCGGACAGACAGAGCAGAAGAAAAGTAAATAGAAGCGTGGAACAGATGATCTAATAAAGTCAAGAATGATTATAATTAAAGGAGTTGCACAAGCAAATGAGGAGGAGGTGTTATCTAAGAACTGAGAAAAAGTTATGTAATTAAAGGAGTTGCACAAGCCAATGAGGAGGAGGTGTTGTTATCTAAGAACTGAGAAGTTGTAAGGTGGAACAGGGAACAATTCTGTGAGGGTTAGTCACTGTCATTTGGCTGGATTGAAAAACACCTAGGAAATCAGTGAAGCACAGTTGTGGGAATTGTCTGAGGGATTTCCAGAGATGGTCAGCATGTGGGATGGCAAAGTGGGCTGAGAACCACCTTGAGGGTAGGTGGCACCAACCAACAGGGTAAGGGCCTGGATGGAACAAAGGCAGCAAGAGGAAGAGGCACGCCAGCACATCCTCTCTCACTCTGCTTTCTGGTTGCTACCAGATGAACAGCGTCCCTCTACTATGATGTTTTTGCAATGGAGTCAACCAACCATGGACTGAATCCTCAGAAAGCATGAGCCAAATTAAAAATCCCCTTTATTCACCTCAGGTATTCTGTCACAGCAAGTCCAAAGCAGCGATGAAGAGCACATGGATAAGGTAATACAAGAAAGCTCATTAGAGAGAAAAGGGCAAAGTGCTCATTGGTACTGAGTGGGTCACCCAAATAGAGGGTAAAGTCACCAAGGATGTACAGCGCAGTTTAGAAATTCCGAGAGACGCATGGTTAAGAAAAATGAGGGTCAATTTTACAATTTTAACTATAACCAGTGAAAACAAAATTTAGAATCGTGTTTTTTAAACAATAATTGCCAGAACTACAGGTTTCCTCAGGGGCATCTCAGACTACCTCAGGACATGCATAGAAGCTAAAACTAGCAGTCTACAAAGCCTCTCCCTCTCTTCAACTAGGAAAGCTTCCATTTTATTTGTTCAATACTAACAGTAATCGTAAGGGCACAATCTTTTTAAAATTGTTCTTCCATTTGAAAGAAATTGGAAAAGCACTTATCTAAATTAGTTTCTCTTTCTCTAATTATCTGCAAGACTTACCTTCTCATATGCATTCTCTAGGAACTCAATTGGATTTTTCCCAAATGCTACAGCATGCCCAAGGAATGGAACTGGAGAGAAAATATATGGTGGAGTTTTCTGTAAGTAAAAACAATGAAATTCATTTCTCATTTAATTTTAAGGAAAAACTCAATTCAGCTTCATAACCAAATAATTTAATGAAATTTTCTATTAGTCCTAAAAAAAAGTTACCAAAAATGAAGCATCAAAAGTAACTTATGAACAACTAAATGGCCAATATCTACAGAGAATACAGTTTAAAAGAACAGAAATTCAAGACTGGGCATGGTGGTGCACGCTTGTAACCCCAGCACTCAGGAGGCTGAGGCAGGAGGATCTCAGTGAGCTCAAGGCCAGCCAGGGCTACATAGTGAGTTCAAGACCAGCCTAAACTATACAGCAAAACTATATAGCAAAAAAAAAAAAAATCAGAACAGGATAGTCAAACAAGCACTGCAATTTTAAATAGACACTGTCACTTTACTAGTGGCTCCAGATAACCTTTCTAACCACTAGCAGCAAAAGTTTTTTTTTTTAATCTACATTTACAGTGAACAGAACACATCTTATACTTCTTTCACTGGATCCACCAATTTTAAAGGAAATACATCAACTCTAGCAGAAACTCTCTAGCATTCATCATAAGCCGTACTTTAAATGCTACAATATAATACGCACATATTATAACATTAAATCTTCTGGAAATCAAACTTGCAATGATGACAAAGGATGATACTGCTCAGATGTCTGTCATGGTTTGTGTCTGGATGCCCCTCCTAAGTCCCATGCAGTCATAGGGGTGGAGGGTTCAGAGGGGGCTAAATCTAGAGCTTGTGGTTGTCTTATAGTCCAGTGCTGGGATTAAGGGTGTGAGGAATACACTTGCCCTAGGGCAGGTAGCCTGCACCTATTGCTTTTGCTGTCTTCTGCACCATGAACTGTTCTCTGCCCAGCCACCTTGCCTTGGAGCCAGCCAACTGCGGACTAAAACCTCTACAAACTGAAAGCTGAATAAACCTTCCCCGCTTTAAGTTTGGGTGTTGGCTATTTTGTCCCAGCAACGAGAAAAGTAACTATGCAACTTCCCAGAGAAAAAGACCACATCCTCAAAAAGCGCAGGTGTAGGAAAAATAATACTAACTCTGCCGCGTGCCTGTTACAGTTCAAACAAAAACTTAAAAGCTACTAAGACACACTCTGGTCTAAGCACAATGTACTTAGTTTGTCCATTGCATTGGGAGGAATGGGTAGTTTTCGAAATCTACCTACTGCTGCTTGTTAATGATGTTTGGGAGGTGTAAGACTGGTGGCCAACCCTTAGAGAAAGTGGTATTTTAGCAGCCTTGTAAGAAAGCCCCTCCTGCACTCCTGATATGCCCGCGCCCCTCTACCAGGCTGAACACAGAGGCCTGAACACCGACGTAAACTGGACAGCGACGTAAACTGCCATCTCTAGCGCGATGGGCACAAGGGCGCACTGCCGACAGCAACACCACCAAGGTCTGCACCGCGCGCCCCGACGCCGGAGGGCGGCCAGCAAGGGCACAGCCGCGCCGGCCCGACCCCAACGCTGCACGCATCCCCTTCGCGGCCAGGATCGGATTCGCGGCCGGGGCCACCAGAGCCCCCAACGCCGAGGCGGGCGAGGCCACCCGTCGCAAGAGCGGGCGCCCACACCGCACTCCCAGCAGGGCAGCAGCGGGCCCCCGCCGCCCTGCCGCCGCCGCGCCCGGCCCGCCGAGGAGGTACGCACCGCTCCGGCCGGCAGGTGCGCCAGCTGGCCCACGGCGACGCGGAACAGGTAGGCCAGGCTGAGCGTGAAGGCGCAGGCCACCAGCAGCGTGGACAGCAGGCTGCCGCCCGTCACCTGCTCCACCGCCTGTCCCAGCATCGACCCGCCCGCCTGCAGCAAGCCCAGCAGCGCCATGCCGTCGCCGCCCGGTCCCTCCCGGGACACCCTGGAGGCCGCGTCGCAGCCCGCGCTCGGAAGAGACGGAGAGGGAGACACCGGCGGACGGACGAGAAGAGCCTCCCGCGCGCCCGGCCCCTACTAAAGCCGGGCGGCCCCGCCCCCCGCTCGCGCGCCACCCGCAGCGTCACAGAAGGGGCGGGGCCTGCGGCGCGCCACGCCCACACGCGGCGCCTGGCCGCCGAGGTCTCCTGGCGACACGGGGAGGGGCTCTGAGAACGCGGCCTAAAGGTGGTGGCGCCAGGGGTCCCGCACCCAAGCGAAGATGGCTTTAGAGGTGAATACCCGCTGAGAAGCAAGTGTT